GTGTGTGTGTGTGTGTGTGTGTGTGTGTATGTGTAGGTGTATGTTAGACTAGTTTAAGTGTTTTTGTAGTTAATAAAGTCTTACTTGTATCACACCCGAGGTTGTTCATTGTTTGCTCATAATCGTAGTCCCTAATCATGCAGATTTCTGCTACATGCTAGTACATGAGTAGTATTGTACAGTAAGAAAGTTATTTCCCTTAACCAGGAAATTAATGTTCTTAGAATTGACAGACAGTTGACCCTGAGGTCAAGTAAATACTTACAGCGGATCTAAATATTTATAATTAATTATAACTAGTTATGATTAATTATTCCTATTTCCCCTTTGAGCTGATTCGCTACACTATGTACCAATGTGTACTTACACTGTGGTTACATACTATGTACACACCTAGTTACTATGTAAGTACACAGGTATTTGGGACACAATATAAAGTGGGACCAACATTTTTATTAGATAAGACTCAGATACTTCAGAAATATTAAAAACAGTAAGATCATTATTTGGTGATATAATATCCTTACTACTTTCACTAAAACCTTGTATTAAATCTATTCTGTATAATATTTAGCATATTTTCTTTGCCTTTGGCTTTCATACTAACCTTGCTACTAAAGAAATGTGCTACACTACTACCTTCAGTAAATTCTTTTCCCTACAAGAACTCTGGTCATACTTACTTAATTTATGTATTAGAGAAATATAATATTTTGACAAGCCACCCAAATGATTGTTCAGCCAAATACAGGAAAATCTCAAATTAAGGACAGCACAATGTGTTGTTTATAATATCATGTGACAGTTGCGTATAAAGATAATTTGCTTCATTTTATATTTTTGTAACTCCTTACAGTTTTAAAGGACAATTCTGTTACATTTCTGACTTATTATTATGATCTTCCATGTTTTCTGCATCTAAAAACAGTTCAGTAAAATGTTCTATGGTTGTTTTTTTTAAGATTCCTCATAATGATTGGAGTGACACGGTCACCACTGTCACCGCTGAACATAATATTAATTAACAAGATTTACTGTGTCCATTGTAAGAGACTGTAAGTAGTGGAAAGCTACAATAATGAGTCTGACAAAAATACAGACAATTCTGCCAGAGCAAAAGGCAAAGTAGAGGAAAACAAAAGTGTTCTAACCTCCATCTAGACTGCATGAAAGAAGGTATCTCTTGCTAGTGGACCGTTCAAAGTGGGGAGCGGGCCGATCAATCAGAGCGCTGGCTTGCCGTGTCTGGGCCTGAGTCCTTCCACTGTATCTGAACTTTGAACCCATCACCAGAAAGCCCTTTGGTGGAGGCTCAGAAGACACTAGCCTAAAACAGACCAATACAGGAAAATGTTATTGGTTTTCTGATATTAACTTCATTAATAATCTGCATCAGAAAGTACTGAAAAGACAACCCCCTGTAATAATAAAAAGCTACAGTGGTTGATGGGTAATTAGTCAAAACAGCCCACCATCAAGTCTCTATGGTATTCTGGACTTTATAATAACATACCTGGAGCAACAGAGGATATGCCAACAGAGACCTTCAATCTCACATTCATCAATCTTAATCATACCTAAACTTTCTCATATATTTAAAAAGGGCAGTATGATTATCAAGACATAGCCACACTAGACTTTGTTCTCCATTGATTCCATTTAAATTTCATGCAAACGTGGGAAACCGGAAACAAAACATATTCAATAGTGTAACAGCTTCAGGCATTAGGAGGATGATCAAACACAAAGGACTGAAAGTCATTAAAGCTAAATTCATAGCACAATGGTGACCCAAAGTTTGTCACTAAGAAAAATAAAATAATTAACATGAACATGACTACAATGTTGATAACAAAATGAGAAAAATCGAATTAGTCCAGATAGTTTACCTGAAAAAGGTGTGGTGTTCGATACAAACTTTCCATAGCCTCTTGGCGCCTCTGTGGTTAGAAAGCTTGAAACCAATGGTGCTCTCAAATTGCTCATACTGTTGTGTAAAAGAAAGGGAAGAACACATCAGATAGTTTCCTGTCACAATCTGGACACTTTCGACTGTTTTACGTGGTACCAGAATCTTGAAACCTATGTTTTTGTGTCTGGGTGAGCACACAGATTGAGGTAATTCTCCTTGGCTGTATGTTCTCCTGTCCCTTTTGTGTTAGGAGTGTAGGGTCTCGATCCTGACACTTCTGTCTGTTTCATTTACAGTGTCAGGATCCAGGTGCTCATTCCTTATGTTGTGTCTTTTGTTGTGCATAGCACTGGTTGTTGGTTTCTTTTTCATGTGCTCTTGCCTGTCTGTTTGAGTACATGGCTTATGATTGTGTTTGTTTGCCATTAATTCATGTCATGTTTGGTGTGAAGTGAACACTTGACTTCTGTCATGTTTGTTTCTATTAACCATGTGCTCTTCTATCTCATGTCTTGTCCTTGCCGTTTTGTTATCTTGTTATTAGTTAATTAGCCCCACCTGCTATCCCTCGATATTCTTTTCATTTGCTGCCCTATTTAACTACCCTCTGTTCTGTGTGAGTTCTTGTATAACTTTAAATTCTCATGTGACATTTAGCAATCTAAATATCTGGACCTGTCTGTGACTCAGAGTCCTGCAGTGTGAAATGTGTTTTGACTGAAAATGACACAGGCCATGACCTAAAGTGAATGAGAGAGCATGATACAGGGCAAGGGAAAGTTCAGGGGGTGGAGTCACAGATCTGCAACAAAACATCAGCATGCATGGCTTCTGCAAGAAACCTTCTCTTCATATTCTTCTTTTCTTTTCTTGTTCACTGCAAACTAGAATACAGACAACTTGGATTGCAAGCTTCTTGCAGCTTCTTCTAACAGGAAGAAATCCATTCTCACGCAAGAGCTCACTTGTTATTGTCAGCCAGCCAATAACCGATTGTCCTCTGTCTGCTGGGACTATGTTTTTAACGTGTTAAAAACATAAGCACGAGGAGAATAAAAAAAAAATCACTATTTTATTTAAACACGGAGGAAACACTAGGAGATAACGTCTAGGAATACGCTCAACACAACCATACAAATACAATTAAACTAAAGTGTAAACGAAGACAGACAGAGACTAATGGAGAATTCAGGGTTTAAATGCATGGATGAAACAATGGGACTAATGAGATAATTAGTTAACACCAGGTGAACGGAATGATTAATGAAAACAGAATCAGAAGGAATCAACAAGAAACTAGGTCAAATGATAAGGCAGACAGACAGACAAAGCATACATGTTACAATACACCCCCTCCCAAAAGAGGGTCGAGGGAGGGAGGAGCCATGGTTTTGACCTGGTATATGACACCCTGGGGACTAGCGATGGAGATGGATCATTGGATGTGGAGACCCAGGTGGAGCCGAGCAGATGGAGAGCTAGGGTGTCACCAGAGGTCCAGAGAGCCAAAGCGGAGCTAAGGGCTCCTGCGAGCATGCCAGAGATGGGGACCCCGAAGAGTGTGGCGGAGCCGGAGTGAGTGAGGACAAAGGTGGAGTCGGAGGGAAGGAGGAGTCAGATGGAGCCTGAGGGATGGAGGGATGAGGTGAAGCCGGAGAAGTGGAATCCCGTAGCGGACGAGGGTCGACGACTGATCAAGGCAGAGCTGGAGGGACGAGGGAGCCCGGTGGAGCCAGTGGGATGACGGGCCACAGTGGAGATGAGGAAGCAAGGAGCCAAGGTGGAGCTGATGGGTTGGAGGGCTGAGGTGAAGTCCGGGACTTGGAGGCTGGACGCGGAGACAGACTGATTTCAAATCTCCCTTTTCTGTCAAAAATACTAGAAAAGATAGTATCCTCTCAGCTATGTTCCTTCTTAGAGAGAAGTGGTATCTGTGAGGATTTCCAGTCAGGATTTAGACAATATCATGGTACTGGCACAGCTCTCATCAGAGTTACAAATGACCTGCTCTTATCATCCGATCGTGGTTGTATTTCTCCATTAGTGCTACTGGATCTTAGCGCTGCATTTGACACTATCGACCACAACATTCTTTTGAGTAGACTACAAAATTACTGTATGTTGGCATTAGTGGAATTGCATTATCATGGTTCAAATCTTACTTATCTGACCATCATCGATTTGTAGCAGTGAATTACATATATCATATTGATCACAAGCAGGGGCGTAGCCACCATTTCAGAAGTGAGGGGGGGACAGAAATGTAATATATAAATATATTACATTTCTGTAATATATATAATCTACCATTCAAAAGTTTTAGAACAGTAAGATTTTTTATGTTTTTAAAGAAGTCTCTTATGTTCACCAAGCCTGCATTTATTTGATCCAAAGTACAGCAAAAGCAGTAATGTTGTGAAATATTTTTACTATTTAAAATAACTGCTTTCTATTTGAATATATTTTAAAATGATTGCTGTGATCAAAGCTAAATTTTCAGCATCATTACTCCAGTCTTCAGTGTCACATTATCCTTCAGAAATCATTCTAATATGCTGATTTGCTGCTCAAGAAACCTTTTAAAATTATTATTATCAATATTTAAAACAGTTGAGTAACTTTTTCAGGATTATTTGATGAACAGAAAGATCCAAAGATCAGCATTTATCTTAAATGAAAAGTTTTTGTAACATTATACACTATACCATTCAAAAGCAGTATAATTTTTTTTTGAAAATGTTGAAAAAATTATAGAAATTAATACTTTTATTTAGCATGGATGCTTTAAATCAATCAAAAGTGATGATAAAGACATTTATAATGTTACAAAGGATTTCTGTTTCAGATAAATGCTGTTCTTCTGAACTCTCTATTCATCAAAGAAACCTGAAAAAAATCTACTCAGCTGTTTTCAACATCATAATAATAATAAATGTTTTTTGAGCAGCAAATCAGAATATTATAATGATTTCTGAAGGATGATGTGACTGGAGTAATGATGCAAAAAATTTAGCTTTGAAATCACAGGAATAAATTACATTTTAAAATACATTTAAATAGAAAACAGTTATTTTAAATAGTAAAATTATTTCAAAATTTTAGTGTTTTGCTGTTAGAAATCAGATAACTGCTGGACAATAACCAATAATAATGATTTGTATATATACTACAAACACTTTATTTTATCACATAATAAGGCAGAATAGTTTCTATACTGTAATGAATGCTATCAATTAGCAATGCATTGTTCATATACTTTATTTATTACCTGGAGATGACTTGAAAAACACAAATAAGCCATATATTGTTGCAATCATATGTTTAATGTCTTCATGTTTCCAAACGTTTCTGTTTTTCTGTGAAAAGTAAACAAGGATAGATGCTTTTGCCATATTAGTGATTTCCTGGTACGACTTTCTGCGCGAGAGCGCCCTCCAGCTTCGAGTATGAATGAAACATACACTGCATGGAGTGTTTAGCGCTCCATGATGTTCATCTTGCCTTATTCTGGGTCCGAATAAAACATCAGGTCATGCACAGACTATCCTGTCTCTTTGAATTTAAATCTATATTTATTCACACCGGTTCTTGAAAACCTCTATGCAAACACACTTGCCTGAAAAAGTGTGGGGGACGCATTTACCTGATATTAAAAGTGGGGGGACACGTCCTCCGCGTCCCTCGCGTGATCTACGCCCCTGATCACAAGTACAGTATGGAGTGCCACAAGGCTAGGACCATTGCTTTTCACACTTTACATGGCACCCTTGGGAGATATCATCAAGAAACATGGTGTTAGCTTTCACTGTTATGCTGATGATACTCAGATCTATATTTTTTCGTGGCCCGATTAAAAATACAAATTCGCAAAACTAACAGAATGCATAGTTGATATAAAAAACTGGATGACTAGTAATTTCCTACTGCTAAATTCTGAAAAAAACCCCCAGAGATTTTAATTATTAGACCAAAAACCTCAGCATGCAATGCCTAACCTAAACACTGTCTAAAGCCCATTCGGACAGGACTGGTTTTCTAAACTACGTTTGAGTTTCGATTCTTATCACCTAACGTCTACGATTTTCATGTACCAATTCGGACGGGACTAACATCTCCGTGTTTATTACAGAGGTGGGAGGGTCTGTTTTGTACATCTGGGCGTCACAGAGATCACGCGCTCTGTATGCGTGCATTGCTTATAGTCATTCGGATTGATTAATCAGTTTTACTACAAATACCATGGTGAAGCTAAATGGCTAATACAGCAAAACCATGTTAATGTGTGGTTACTTTAGTTTAACTTTTATTTTTATTTATTTGTAGTAAACCCATGTTTAATTTTCATAAAGGT